CTTACCTGAACTTCCATCCTTCATATCATTAGCACACTTCTCATTGAGTCATTAAATATACACTGCTCGCTATATGCCAGCCACTGTTGGAGGTCCTAGGAATAGTCTGCCAGTGGGAAAACAGGCAAAACTGTTTGCTTTCCTGGAGCTTATATTTTAGTAATGGTGTCCTGCAAGTCTTCAAACGTCATCTTGTTGAGCCCCTCGTCTTGAATTCACTTATGTTTCCCTCTTGCATAGTGTTTATTTCACTTACCCCAGACCTACATTCATTCCCTGAGTTACCCTATCAGAGACCCCATCACCTGGAGCAGCTCTCTTGTAATGATATCCTAGGGATCCACAGCTCACTTTTTTACTTACCAGTCTTGAGCAGATCTCCCACACTTGTTTTAGGCTTCTTTTCCCTAGAGCAGCCTGCGTCCCCCCACCCTCACCCCTCTAGAACAAAAGACAGCATTGGACTCCACCTTCTCTGCCTCTGTCAGTCTTTTGAAAACAAAAGCAGCACATGTTGAGTGAACATGAATGAAAGCCCTAGACAGATGTGAGAGGTCAGGTGAAACAGAAAGTACATTTTTTTTCAGTACTAAGGAGGGGCTTTGCTGTTCATTATCACATTTCATTGTAACAAACCTGGGAGTTAAATATTATTGAGACAGTATGAAGAGAACAAAAACAGGAACAAAAACAGTTTCAAAGCTAGGTCGGGTGGGCCCAAAACCCTGGCACATACATTCATTTGGCAGAGGGAAAGGAATCTAATGTTTTTGCTTGGAAATCTCTCAACTGACCCTGATATACACAGGGGAAAAAAAATAACTGAAGAGAAGACTATAACTTAATTCCCAAGTTTCTAGATTTATGATAAAATAGTGATCCATTTGTATGTATTTTTAAAATTTTCAAACTAAACTTCAAATTTCCCATTATATTACCATTTCTATATTTACTTAGTAGAAATTATGTTCTTTTACTGTCCTTAAAAATAAAGATCCACCAGGGAGAGGCCTAACAAGTAAAAACAGTGTAAGGCAGGGTCCAGTGGGCTTTCCTACTTCTCTTTACAAATATTATTTCATAATGGATCAGATACTTGTTTTTGGAATTTAGTAGCCTTTCCCAAACTGTGTTTCTTTGGGAGATGTTAATCTGAGTTTAAAGAACAAAAGATTCCTGGACAAATAAGATTGAGTGAGTTATAACCCCACCTGAAGCTACACACAATACATATTAGCATTTTCAAGACAACAGTAAAGATTGGTGTTTAACTTTACGTAATGGTTAAACAAATTAAACATGCTTGTTTTGTGGGGGAAAGACTCTTTTCTTCAGTATTCCAGTGTAAACTACGTTATCTCCCAAAGCCAGTTACAGAAAGAAATAAAATTGCTGTATTTTTGATTCTCTGTATATCCACGTAGAAAACCAAGGGCTGTTATCCTTTCATGATCAACCATGAATATGAAAGCTTGGACATGAATGTCACTTACTTCATGAGAAACATACTTAGAAAAAAATTGCATGGCAAATTTGCAGTGACAGATTTATCATAAAATCACCACCATATTGCTCTTAGACCCAACCAGTTATCAGCATTATATAACATTTTATTGTTTAAGTAGAATAATCTGTCATTATTATAAACTGTGTGTTTTGTTCAGATGTAAAAAAACAGGTTCTGGTCAAAATTCAGGTTAATGTGAAATAATTTTGTACCTTTTTGCCAGCTGGCTTTTCTTCATCTCTTCTGAAGTAGCTAACACAATCTAAATGCTCTAATGTCAAATATTTTGCAGTTAAAATCTTAGTACAATAGAAATTACACTAGCATCAAATGTCTACTTATTTTCAGCAAAACTTTATGATCATGTTAATAGTGGAAATTGAATTTGATAAATACATATAATTTAACATTGATTCATTCATTTTTATGTTTATTGAGAACCCACCAAATACCCAGTACAGGAGCATTTGAGGCATTGGATATGCAGAATTTTAGACATTAGAGCTCCTGCCTTGAGAAGTCATACCACAGGAACAGGTATTCAGACTACAGATGCTTACTGAGGTTCTCTGTGTCTCCTTCCTGCACTGGCGAGGTTCTAGGAAAACAGTGGTGAACAGACAGATTCCTCTCCTTGATGATGCTTGCAGACTTGCAGACACAGACACTATTTATCAGGGTACTATAACTGTTAGACACAAACAGAGTACGGAAGAAACTAGAGAAGACAACTTTCTGAGAGCATCTTGAAAGGTGACATTTCTGATTTGCTTTATGCAGAAAATAATCTTTCTTGTTTATTTTTTTTCCTTAGGGATTTTCCTTACCTAGCGTTACCTTTGCTTAAAATAAAGGAAGCATGTACTCTAAATTTGCCAGAAGAAAATTTCTATCCAAGGATTCTTATCCACTGAGATGTGGCTTTTCCAAAAAGGATCTTTAGATATCTAACATGCTCATGACAATTACTTGGTGTAGCTCCAAGTCCTAATTCAGGTTATTGGGCACCAGCCCAGGGTTTCTGTAGAACTAGCATATGGCTCAAGGATTTTTATTTCTAACAGGCTCCCAGAAGTTGCTGATGCTGCCAATCCAGGAATCACATACTAAGAAACATTGTTTAAGAACTTAAATATACCAACTTCCCAAGTTGAACTCATTATTAAAAGACTGTGAAGCAGATATCTCTGTTTCATAGGAGGAATGACAAGGCATAAGTTATTTTATAAAATGAAAATGTAGGTAGGCAAAACTAGGAAAAATAATAAATATTTCATATCCTAAATGCAATGATTAACTTGAAATCAGAAACTTCCTTCTATCACTGATTTTCCATATTTGAAACACTCTGAAATTGAGATAGTTCATGATTTGACTTGAAATAACTCTTTTTTTCCTCTCCCATAAACAGATGTTTTAGAAATTTGGTTAAAAAAATTATGTCCAAACAAGTAGTGTAATATTAGATTCTGTGAATAGAAGGCAGCACTAAGTATGTAGGGGACTATGTTATTTCCTGTGAATGAGCCTCTTGAGAGACAAACCTCTAAGGCAGCATCAATAAAAGCAAACGGTTACTAGGATAGTGGTGACAACCCAGAAGGCCTGGTAACATGAAGGGACAGAGATAGATAGCTAAGATGCTTTAAAGGAGAAAATGAAAGTGGAGAGAATCTATCAATCTACCTACAGTCCAAAAATACAATGTGCCTAATATCAAGAGGACTACACCAATATGCTGTTATTAACAGAAACATCGTAACCACATCAAGAAAAGTATCTATGCTGTATTACTTACCCCTGCTGCTAAAGTTTGTTACTACAAAATACACTTTATTGGCTTAAAATGACACAACTTAATTTTCCTACAGTTCTGGAGATCAAAAGTCTGTAATCAACATCAATCATCAAGGCTGGGTTCCTTCTAGAGAGGTGGTGGGGGTGGGGAGGAGGATTCGTTTCCTTGCCTTTTCCAGCTTCTAGAGGCCACTCGTGCTCCTTGGCTTACGGCTCTTCTACCATTTCTGGGGCCTGCAGTGTACCATCCTCACATTTCTTTGTGACTCTGCTTCTCTCAACAGGTCTCTCTACTCTGACCCTCCTGCCTCCCTCTTCTAGGGACCTCGTGACACTGAACCCACCTGGATAATCTCCCCACCTGAAGACACTTAATATAATCATGTCTGTAAAGTTTCTTTTGCCATTTAAAGCAGCTTATTCACAGTTTTACAGGATTATGAAATATACATCTTTTGGGGGGGCATCGTTTGACTTCCCACATATGCCATTTAGTTCTTCTGGTCAAAGCCCCTTGTGGTAGTGTTTTCAATGTGGGGAATTGTATTTTCAGGAATAAATTAATAAATGGTGTTATATGCAAGAAAAGGACCACAGATCACTCATTCATTCACCAAATATTTGTGTTCACCATGTGTCGGGCACTGGGCAAGGAGCACTCTGGAGATACAGATAAGAGTAACTGAGGCTGTAGACTGTGATGCTTATGAGACAGGACTCAGAAGTCTAATCATCTGATTTTGAATCCCGGCCTCACCATTCATACACTGTGTGATGTAAGCAAACTACTTAATTTCTCTGTGCCTCAATTTTGTCACTTAGGAAATTAATATAGAATTAGAACAGTCCCATAGGGCTATGACGATGATTTGGTGAGATTCTAAGTAACACCTTTGGCACATTGGCTGGCATACAGAGTTCCATAAATGGGAGCTTTGAGGCAGAGAGCAAGGGAACAAAAAATAGAGAGCACGGAGTATATAATGGCCACAGAGAGCTTGGAAAGGCTTTCCAAAGCTAGGTCTTGAAAGTTCAGTTTCTTCTGGGTAGAAATGAGGGATGTGCAGTGAGAAGACACAATGAAGGATTTAGAAACCATGAGGAATGGCTGAGGAGACAGGAGGAATTTAGCTGGGGGAGGAAAAGGCTTAGGAGTTACATGAGAACTGTATTTCAATACCATGCTTGGGCTGTTGGCAAAGCAAAAGAGATGAGGCTTATTTTACTTCTATCCAGAAAAAATATCCAAGTCCAAGTGGAAATGGCAAAAGCATTGATCTCAATATGTGAAAGGACTTGTGAATAATAAGGAGTTCCTTTTTAAAAAAATTTTTTTGAGGATGACATAATCTCTTCTCCATGCACCACTAACTGTCCAAATACACTGCCTTCTTTATGGGGTGGTGTGTCGTACACCCATTTTCTTCTTTCTCCTTGTCAATAGAAACGCAAGTATTTTCAGAAATCAGTGGACCATAAACTTTAAGGGAGGCCGGGCTTCTGCCCAGCTCTAAGGGAGTCAACCAGGGTTGGCCTGAGCCAAGCATGGTAACCACTGCCTTTGTCATTACTTAGGTCGGAAAAGCATATGCTACTCAATTCTTGCTAATGAGATAGGAAAGAAAGGCCTTTGGAAGAGTCTTCATCTCTTCAAAAGATAAATGAGGGAAGTAAGTACTCTCTTCCTCTGTTCCAGGTATGAGACATCGTTGTGTGAAGAGGTGATACCTGGAGATGTGGCGTCCATTTTTGTCCACATCTGAGGACAAAGCTAACATCTGAGGAAGTCGAAGCAAGAAGAGAGAAAGGGTTTGGATCCTTGATGAGCTAGATGAGCTGCTTAATTAACTGACCCTGAAGTCGTCATATAGTATGTCATTCATTATATATCTGTAATATATTCAAATATACTCAGTGTTAAAGCCAGTCACATTTTCCCTTCTTACTGTCCAGAAAGTGCCCTGCATATACAACTAGCACTATAGAACCTTGACAATCCAGGTTCCCAGCAGAAAATAAGCACAGACTGTCTATTGGTGTTATCAAAATACTGGCTTTGAGAAGGAATTTTGAATGAAGATTTCTGACCTGATTTTCAGGTAGGAGATTCTGTTAGACACACTTTGGGTTCATTTTTATTCTCTGAGTGTCCTCAGCTTTATCTTTTGGATCAACTCATATCATTATTGTGTTGTGTACCTACCCAGCCAATTACAGTAAACACTACAGGGTGTCTGCTAATGGAATAGGTTGCCTCCATTAACTAACTCTCTTCCAGAATTAATTCCTGCATAGGCAAAAGGTTAATTTTCTAATTCCTAAAATAGCTATAATTCTGTGATACCCATATTTGTAAGCACTGCACTAAACTCACTATATATTGATAAACCAATTCATCTATTACAAAAATTGAACTGAGAGATAGGCAGGAAAATATTAATAACCAATTAATAGAAGCTGCAGGAAAAACTTAGTTAATAAATGTTCTTCCCCTGTGTGGAAGAGAGAGCTGTCCCTGATTTCTGCTAAACGTCCTTTTTGGACCACACCCCCTTAATACCCTTATAATCTTCTTAGGCTCCTCACTTCCTTTTCTCTTCTGCCCCCTCTATCTCATCCTCATGAGTTGAAACAGCTTGCTGCCCATTTTAGGTTCTGGAGAGGGACAACGCCTCAGAGATCACACTGATATGCTTTTCTCTTCTCATGTTGCTTCTCTCTATGGGTTTTACAGGACCTACATCTGCCTTTACATCTGAATAGAAGTAGTTTCATTCTGAGCCACATCCTTGCCAAAGTTTATTGAGAATATCAATAAAGAACAACATATTTGTAAGAATCCTTTCTTTAAAAACTGGACAGTGTGAGAAAATGTGATGTGTCCTCCCCGAGTCTAGGGAAGAATGTCGGTCAAGTCAAACTTTAATTACAATGTCTGAGTCAATGAAAAGACCAGTGTTCCCACTTCTCACAGACCCTTTTCCAGTTAGAAGGCAGTGGTTTCCACAATTCTGCAGCTGTGTTTCCATCACCTTTGTAGAGTTTACAGGATTAAAGTACATAAATCATATTTTCTTATTTTCTATATTATAGATGCTTTGGCATTTGGGCCCTCGCTGACTGGTGTAGTATTGTAATTTCTAAGAAATGCAGGTTTCCCCCAGTGTCTGAAGGTAGAGTACTTCTATGAAAGCTTTCATGAGCCGAAATTTATATAGAAAAAATTTTTGACCATCCCTAGACCCCAAAAATAACCTCTCTTAGGCTTTTCAGATACCTTAGGACATATCGTGTTAGCAGGAGCACAAAATAAATTTCAACAAAGCACAGATGCTCACAGACACTGTTCAAAGCTGTGGTGGTTTCATGCTGAGAGGCTGAATGTGGTTCCGGGGGAAGGAACTGGGAGGTGCCCCTCTCACTGCTCAGTATATTCTGCCTCTGTATTGGCTCCCTGCAAAACAAACACTGTATGCTATTTTCATTTTTATGAAATTGAAAGTCCTCTTCAGATTGTGTTCTGTTAGCGAAAACAGCTACTAAGGTATGTAGCTCTTTCGTAAAAGTGAAGTGCCCTAACTCAAACTTTCAAAAAGTGGGAATACTTGTATGTATTGGGTCTGAGTCCCATTTTTGGAACTGAGCTCCTAAAGCCCTTGGAATTTCCTAAGTGTTGAGAGTGACAAAGGTGTCTTTTGTTATATTAATGAGGTAACTTTAGGACTGAACCTGAGGAGGGGGCTGGTTGCCAGGGAAACCAACCAAGTGATTAGAGGGTTGGAATTTTCAGTCCCACTCCCAGACCTCTGAGAAGGGGGGAGGGGCTGGAAATTGAGTTCAGTTACCAATGGCCAATGATTTACTCAATTGTGCCTATGGAGGAAGTCTCCATAAATTCCCAAAGGATGGGGTTGAGAGAGACCTTCCAGGTTGGTGAACACTGTGGAGATTTGGGGAGGGCGGTATATTTGGACTTGGAAGCTTCACTCCCTTCCCCCATACTCTGCCCTATGCATCTGATAACATTTTGGGATGATGGGGATTTGTGGGGTCTGGAGCCCATGGTCATGAATGAATTCGTGGAGGTGTCTTTGGTGCAAAAAGGTGATTTTACTGAAGCGTGGGGACAGACCCTTGGGCAGAAAGAGCTGCACTGTAAGTGTGGGGGGTGACCGATCTATGGAGTTGGGCGAGAGGGAGTTTCCAAAGAGATTTTCACAAGCTAAAGACTTACTGGAGGCCTAGCTAATGTCAAGCTAAGGTTTTCCCCCTAGTAAAGCATTAACATGAAGACAGTAGGGAGTTCCTGGATTTTAGGCCATGATGGGATTGCCTTTTTCTGGCAAACTGGTAGAGACTCTTATCATTTTGACCATTTGTTTTCTTGTCCTCTCCTCTTCTTGGGTAGCTTGGGTTGTCCAAGAAATATCATATATGTCCCACCTGGGGTTGGGGGTGCTGTTAGCCTGCACTTTGCCCTCAGCTTGCCTCATGCTCCCTCATCACATCTCTCTGTCCCTGAATTATATTCTTTTTTAATAAGCTCATAATCTAGTAAGTAAAATGTTTCTCCGAATTCCATGAGCTGCTCTAGCTAATTAATAGAACCCAAGGAGGGGGCTCATTTGACTGTCCAGTCTATAGCCGATAGGTCGGAGCATAGATGACCGGGCTGGACCTGTGATTGATGTGTGAAATGGGGATGGGGGAGAAATCTTCTTCAGCCCTTAGCCTGTGAAATCTGAAGCCGTCTCCTCTTTATTGTGCTTTTTATTTATTTGTTTTTTTACCACTTCAAGATGGGACTAGGTAATAATACCTGCCCAATTTGTTCTCAAAATGTTTTTAGAAAGCAAAGATGTTACTAGACATATACTAATGCCAGATTAAAAGCTTCAGAGACTCAAAGCCCCCAAATGTTTCAAAGCCCCTTCTCAATATATAATGCTTATAAAAATAATGCTTGGTCATAATGTAAATGGAAGGGAGGCCTTCAAGATCCTAATTTTGTTTTCACATGACTTCTATAGTTTAAAAAAAAATTTTTTTAAAGGGGTCACCTGGGTGATTCAGTCAGTTAAGCATCTGACTTCAGCTCAGGTCATGGTCTCGCAGTTCGTGAGTACAAATCCTGCCTTGGGCTCTGTGCTGACAGCTCAGAGCCTGGAGCCTCCTTCAGATTCTGTCTCTCCCTCTCTCTCTGCCTCTCCCCCACACTCACACTGTCTCTCAAAAATAAATAAACACTTAAAAATTAAAAATATATATGCCAACATGTTTTTAAAATGTTTGGTACCTCTGTTTTTCTGGCACCCTAAGAATGTGCTCAATCTGCCTTTGGATAACCAGGTCCTAATTAAGCATCTAATGTGGGAAGCCCTATACTTTATGCTACATCATGAAATCAGGTGATATGACAGTGAATGAGTGATGGGCTTCTTAATTAATTCTGCAGGTCCTCAGGAAGCATTTCTCTGAGGAGGAAACTTTTAAGTGGAGGCCCAAATAGTAAGGAGAACCAAGCTGTGTAAAGATCAATGGATGAAGCAATCCAGGAAGAGGAAGTGAACGAGAAACAGGATCCTGGAAATCAAGTAACTTCCCAACTCGTCACCGAGACAGACATAGCACCAGCTAATTTTAACCCAGTGTGTTTGTTTCCTGCTGTACTAGCAGTGAGAACAGAGTGCTCTGAGAACGCAGAGGAAGGAGTGATTAATCAGAGTTGAGAAATGTACCAGAGTTGTGCCTAGCAGGGTCTATGAAGATGTAGAGCAGCACTGTGAGGATTTAAATCCTGCCTTCACCACAGACGCCTCTTAAAAATAGATTGGGGCCCCTCTCCACATATGCTCAATCAAAATCTCTGAGTTGGCCGCCTGGACTTCTGTTTTTAACAAGCCTGCAACTGATAGGGAGACATTTTGGAATCCTTGGTTTAGAGAACAGGCCTTGGAGTCAGATGACTTGGACCCATGGCGTAAGTGCCACTTTCTTCATCTGTGACGTGAAGGTAATAACACACCCTTCCTCACTGGGTAACTGTGAGGATGGAAGGAGGAGGGAGTATTTGTATTGTGTCATCTATCATGGTTATTGGAGGAAAACCACAGCTGCAGAGGCAACAGTGAAGAGCTGACCGACTTGTCACATAATGCAGCTCAGAAGCTTACCTTCTAAGAGAAGTGACGGGGCAAGTTTCCAGCTGTCGGGATAGGTCGGGGAGACAGAAAACAGCAGTAAGAGCTGGGGTGGAAGCCAGTTTCCACAGGGGGCAAAAGGACAGTGAACAGCTGTGCAAGCTGTCAAAGCTTTGTAGGAAACAGCTGGCTTTGTCTCTCCGGGTTTTTCTTTTCTTCTTTCCACTTCCTCTTTTCAAATGCAAATTGTTTAAAGTCTTTCCCACCCTAAGATCCAAGCCTAGCCCTTGGGTAAATCAAATGAAAAAAAAAAAAAAGGAAAACCCCTGGGAAAGTTAAGGAGTAGTTGGGCCCAGTGTATCAGAGGGAGATCAATACTGGGAAATCATGGACAGACTCAGAGCCCCTTCTACAGTCCATACAGACTGAAAAGTGCTCCCAGCAACCACTAGTCTGATGGGCCTGAGGAGGGAGGAAGGAAGGCAGTGATGTCTGCCCCCAACCCCTTAACTGTAAAACTGTACATCCCGTCCTAAACTAACATCCCAGAAACCAACACTCGACCCAACAAAACCACTTACTTTGGGATGGACCCCAGAAGAATCACTTTCAGAAAATTCTTTACCAGGGTCAATGTTATTTGTAGATGTATGAAAAGATGCCTGGCTTTCTAAGCTCCAGTTAGTTTCAAATGTATATAAGATGATGGAAATTCCTGTTGGAGGAATTTCCTACCTTCCCTACCTTCCTCCTGTAGTTGTGGCCAAGTTACAAATTCGGTTGTCATGATTGCAGTGTGAAGGGGAATGAATGGGGTTCAGATTCTGTACTTTGTGAAATAAAGACTGGGAGCAGGACAACATGTAAGAAGGTGCCACTCACATACTGCCTCCTGCCTTCCAGAGACATAAGGAGCAAGAATAAGATGACCGTGGCTTTGGGGTCAGCCAGGCCTGAGTCCAGATTCCTGCCGTGTTCAGTACTAGCTGGCTCCTGGAACAAGATACCTTTGCTCTTAGAGTTTTCTTAATCTGTTACAGGCCAGGCACTCTTCTCTGAGCCAGTAGCTGCAATAAATGGTCATTCTCTAGCCATCCAGTTTTGGCTTGTGATCAGTTATCTGATCATCTAACCTACTGGAGGCTCAGATAGTCTTTGTATTGTGAAAGCAGGTAAACTTTAACAGCCAAAGCTTTTTAAACAACATATCTCAGTTCAAATCAAAGAGACCACTTTTTATAACTGGGATGTCTGTGTGTGTCTTTATATTTTATACATATGTTTATTTATAAATATATATAAGTGCATATATATATATATACATACATATATATAAAACACACACTACCCTATTAATGCCAAGAACATTTAAGTTTTTGCATTTAGTCAGTGCTTAAGGGCTAGTTCTGAAAAGAGAGCAGTCCTTATACTTTGCAGTTTGGTTCTTTTATATGTATATAAAATAACTTGTAAAAGAACAAGTAAGTCTGAACAAGAATTCTGGACCAAGAAAGAAAAATAAAGAAAAGTTGCAATATGGAATCTAAAATGATCAGTTGAATCCATATGTGTCTTAACTCATGTTTTGAGGGTCTTTTTTCCCATCTTATATTTCAATAACTCCTCATGTGTATGTGTGTATGTATACATTTATACATACACATATATATGTGTGTGTGTGTGTGTGTGTGTGTGTGTATGTTATTTGTAGATGTATGAGAAACCACCTCCATTTATAAGCTCTAGTTAGCTCCAAATATATATAAGATGATGGAAATTCCTTTGTGGGAATGATTTAATCATTTTAAGCTCTATCTTAAATAAATACCTTGTAAGCCATATGATGTAAATGATATATATATATATGTATGTATATATATATATATATATAAACACACACACACATATATATATACATCCAACCAGACACACACATATATGTAGCAGACATATGTCCTAAGCTCTTTAAAAGTATTATCTAACGTAATTCTCACAACAGCCCTGAGGCTCAGAAAAGTGAACTCTCTCCTCTCAGAGTTTGATAACATCAAGTTTTGGAGTAATAGCAGAGAATAATATCCTCAATTATCTGAAAAGGGCATTAAATGCCTCTTTCATTTTCAGTTGCTAATCTGTATGAGGCTGGAGTTTCTTCATTTATTTCAACCAAAACAATATACAGCAACAGATTGAATGCATGGGCACATGAGAATCTAGTTGCCTGTTAAGCTAAATATTAAAGAGATTTGCAAATATATAAAACAATGTTGCTCGTATTACAGTTTTTTTCTTTTGATTTAGAAAGGGTAATTATTTTTCATAGTTTTACATTATGATAACATGCTGCGGGCTTATTTTTGTTGTTTTAAATGAATAAATATATAAATGTAAAGATTTAAATTTTTTCTCAGTTTTTCTTATATGGTAAGTATTAAAAGCATAAGTACTGTATCAGTCTTAACTTTGCATAGAGAGTGGCTAGTTGGGAAATTTTCATATTTTTTAGTAAAGCTCACTTTCATTTTTTTTTTTTTAAATAGGGTTCACAACCAACATGGAGCCAATGCAGGGCCCAACTCAGGTCCTGAACTCATGACCCTAAGACCAAGACCTGAGCCGAGATCAAGACCAGACGCTTAACCGCATGAGCCGCCCAGGGGCCGCAAGTAAAGCTCATTTTTTGAAAGTGACTTTGGGAAAGTTATTTGAACACTAAGTGCTTCATCAATAAATAAATATGTAAATAAATAAAACAAGAATGATGCGACATTATGTCCAGGAGTCAGGGGATTAAACAAAATGATATTGTGAGCTTCTTTTTAGCTTGAAGTTTTCATGATTCTAAAATTCTTATCTACTGATAACTCTGGTTAAACCTATTGAAGGCTTAGCCAGCAACAAAAAGCCCAAGTTAGGTCCAATATATTGGCTCATGTTTTTCTCAGAGGACTGACTCCCACACCCCACCCACCTCTGCCCACTACAAAGCTTCCATTGAATGCGGTCATGTGTCAGCCAGTGTGAACTCCATCCACCAATCTCAAAAGAATGCAGCTCTGTACAAACATAGTCATACTTTTGGGGGCATGTGAGAATGTATCAGGGCAATTGACTATTCCTTTTATGCATTGAAAGAAGCAGCACAGGGATAGAATGCTGATTTAAAAAGTGACATGACCCATTGGAAGAAATTTAACCATTAACATCAACTCAATTTTGAATATCTTATTTGATGTTTTATTTATTAAAAAATATTTATTGAGTGTCCAAGATGTGCCATGTATGAAATACATAATATTTACTAATCACAAGTTTAGAAGAATGCTTTCTTTCCCTGCCAAAAAATAACCTTTAACAGAGCACTAAATTAAATGTTTCATACTTGTTTCCTTTTCAATTTTGTTCACATCCAACAGTATTTTATTTTAATAATATTATTTCACCAACATTTATTCTGTACATATGATTGCCAAGGACTGTGGTAATCTAGTCCTTGAGGGAACCAAGCCATATGGATTTGGTCCATCTCTTTAAAAAGTTCACCACGTTGAGGTGCCTGGGTGGCTCAGTTGGTTTAATATATGACTCTTTCAGGTCATGATCTCATGGTACATGAGTTCAAGCCCCACGTAGGGCCCTATGCTGACAGCGCAGAGGCTGCTTGGCATTCTCTCCCTCTCTCTCTGCCCCTTCCCTGCTCATATGCTCTCTGTTTCTCCCAACATAAATAGACTTAAAAGATAAATTGTTTTTTTAAAGTTCAGGATATAGATAGGCAATTATAAGATTTATACTCAGGAAATGTAGTCACTACAACAAATGGGTAAATGAGCATTAAATGGTATAAACTGTGCATAGTGCAGGGGCAGAAGCATCTCTTTGCCCTGAGGGGTGTATCGAGGGACCTTAAAGAAGACCTTGAAGAAGAGGGAGGGACATGTGGGCTGACCCTGAGGGGAGTGGACAATCACGGGCATGGGGAGAATGTATATGCTGTTTGACTAGAGAGAATGGGTTGTAGGCATCCTGGTAGTCTTTTCCTTGACTTCACATACACAATCTCTTTTCTTTTTTTCTCCACAAAGTCTGCTTGCTACGAAGATGAGTGTTCAAAGACCTAGGTACACATTTCTTTAAACCCCAAGTGATTTGTACTTGGTCTGGATTGTCTTTTTCTTGCCTTCTCTGGTGGATTATTTACTCCTATTTACTACTTATTTTTTAAGGCCCAAGTAAAATTTTACCTCTTCTGAGATACTTTCTTCCAGCAGAAGCCCCCTTTCTTGTGTGCGGATGGAATGATGCTCATCTTAATTATATTTTTTTGGTCTCCTCAGTGTATCATGTTTATCTTTGGGTCTCAAGTTTCCTCAAGAATCCTGGTGTGAAAGAATATTATATTTATTGAGGGAATGAATGAGCTGGTTCTAACACTTCATAAGATCAACTTAACCTCTCCTAATTACTGATTTAATTCCAATTTGGCACTACCTTTTATAGATTCTGAGCAAAGTGAGATACTCCTTTTCCTAACATCAGAAAACCTTGGAGAAAAGCATTGTTATTTTCATAGTCAAGCATTTTATCCTAAACCTGGGCATCTGAATAAAAGAAATTGACATCTGTTTCCTGCTTTCTGCTCATATTCTTCTAGCACTCTATTTATATGCTAGCACTACCATTTTAGACACTTGAAAACCAGGCAGGAAGGCTGCACCCCCAACCCTCCCCCTATATGCTTTTCTGATCACTATTGACATGTGAGACTGGAGAATTCTTTGTTGTGGAGGGTGGTCCAATGCATTGCAGGCTGTTTAGCAGCATCCTTGCCCTCTACTCACTAGATTCCAGTAGATGTCAACTCTGAAACCAAAAGTATCTTCAGACATTGCCAAATAAAACCTGGAGGATTGCAAATGACTGCATTAGGTCAAGATTGCTTTAGGTCCTCCCTTAAACACACACACACACACACACACACACATGCACACACACACACATTTTCTCTCACCCATACACATTCTCTCACAAACACACACTCTCATTCACACATTCTCTCTCACACATACATTCTATATCTCACACACACATACTCTCACATGCATATACTCTCTCACACACACACATACATTCTCTTAAACACATACACTATCTCTCATACACACATGCTCTTTTACACACACATACATTCTCTCTCACACAAACACACTCTTACAGACACACACACACACTTCTTTTCAGCTTTCTTTCTTTTCCTCCTTCCTTTCTCCCTGCTTCCTAATCCTTTTCTTGGTAAATGTCATCATAGTTTTCTCTTCATCTTCAGCAACTACTCTCAGGAAAAACGAGTTTACTATTCTCTCAGGAAACAGAACATGTGAAGCCATTATTGGTCACTAATCACTTAGAGTAACCAAATATCCTGGTTTGACAAAGAGTGAAGAAGTTCCCAGGATGTGAAAATGTTAGTGCTAACATTGGAGAAATCCTGGGCAAACCACGAGCCCTTTTAACCTCTGACCTATATGATCCAATCTGTGTATAAAGTCCCACTCATAGAAGATCAAATATCTATTAGTTATAAAAGTGGAATTACATTCCAAATTTTGTGCTTTTATAAATGCTTTAAAGTTGATTCTATAACACATTCCCACCTCCAGCGTCTCTCTTACCTTTTCTCCCTCGTCCCCGATTATCTTATAACCTCACTACACCAGCAACTTTCCTTCATCCTTCACATTTCCAAAATTCTCTTATCTCTTTATTTTGAGGATCTACTTAACCTCTCTCCTTTCTCCTCTCACCCCTGAGGTTGCCACCTTTCAACACCAATTCCAGGAGCTGACTTGGCAGTGACAGAGGAAACACTCCCTGAGTGGATTGATGGGTATTAGAGGAGAGAAGGGGAGCAGTCTGAGTCATCATTGGCTTCTGGGAAGAAAGAACAAATCCAGAGTCATTTACATGTAATATCACATATATATTACTTTATGAGCCACTGCCTAATAAGAATAGCTAGAGTGGAAGCAGAGGAATGAGAAAATCATAAGAGCTGAGTTTTGATGGGGTATGAAGAATGAAAAAAAATGTAGACAGATATGTAAAGATATATCCAGATACGGTTCTACCTTGAGTAGCTGTGGGGACGATATAAGGCTGCCAGGGCTCAGTACTAGTTCCTGAATACATAGCCAGGGGCAGAGGTCAAGGGTACGGGCATTAAAAGAGAATACAATTTGCTCTTTCATATCACTGGATAAAGCCAATGTTATGTTCTCCTGGTTACACCCTTCAGCTCCTTTCTCCCTAACATTCAGTTCTTTTAAACCTAGTTACTATTTGGCTAACTAATTTGTTTTTCCCTCAAATATTTTTTAGTCACTACACTGCCACAAAATATTTTCATTAGTGGAAGTGTTCTAAAACACAAGACATAAGCTCTAAAAGGAAAATATAAAATTATGAGATCACTGCTATAATATCAAATGCCCATGGAGTTAAAAGAAGATGAAAATACTCCTCACATATGGAAGCAGTAACGCTTTAAAACATGAGACAGAATAATTACCAGGTTCTTACTCTGTGAACCTTAGGGTCTATTGCATTTCTTATATGTAAAATGTTTCCCAAATAACCCTCATGATTCATGTTTTGAATATCATGAAATTTGAATTATTTACTTCACTTACAAAAATCCATTTGGGGCAAAAGACAAAACCATTTGAAAGACAAGGAAGGAACCGATTGCAGACAAGGGCATTTATTTCTATTTATGGTATCTGAATTCTGCAGAATGACTTAAATCATTTTCATGTTTCAGGCTCATAGTGACTCAGCTCTTCCTTTACCAGTAAATGTAATTGTTAATGAACTTTGCCCTGCCTCTCCCAGAGGCAGAAATCCTTTTATTTCATTAAATCCAATTCAATAAGCAAGAGCTTCTGTTTGCTGAACTCCTGCGTAGGTTGAGTGCTTGTGTGTTTCATTCTAACGTTCATTTAACATTTATTATAGAAATTATTATATTATCTCTATAGCCATAGCCTTCCCTAACATTCCTGTATTGAAAATGTTCTGGAAGTATATTACCCCTTTGGGGTCTATGTTACTGTTCTATTGCTGTTGTGACAAATTATCATGGACTTAGTGGCTAAAGACCACTGGATGTGAGAAGTGTAAAATGAGTTTCACTGGGCTAAAATCAAAATGTCAGCAGGGTGGCATTGCTTCTAGAGGCTGAATGGGAGAATCCATTTTCTTGTCTTTTTCAGCATTTAGAGTCTGCATATTTTCCTTGCCTTCTGGTCTTTTCCTCCATCTTCAAAGTTAACACTATAGAATCTTCAAATCTGTCTGTGACTCTGACCATCTTCCATATTCCAGAATTAGAAGGCCATTGTGATTACATTGTATCCACTGGATATTCCAAGTTAATCCATTTACCTTACACTCCGCTGATGGGCAACTCTCATTCCATCTGCAATCTTAGTCCTCCTTTGCCATGTAACAACATACTCACAGGCTCAGGGAATTAAGATGAGGACATCTTTGGGGGCCATTATTTGTCTACCAAGCTTCCAG